TTTTTTTTTTTTTTTTTTTTTTTTTTTGGCGTTCGGGCTCGGACAGACTGCCCGGGGAGGATGTCCGACCGGTTGTTCGAGCGGACAACCCCAGACGGGTCAGGCGGGTCCATGTCCGATCAGGTAACCTAGAAAATAATAAAAAAAATAATTATTTTTTAGTTCCTTTTTTTGGCCCGGCTGCACAAGTGGTCCCAGGCCACCCAAAATAACAGGACTCGAAGTGGCGGCGTGATTTATACTTTTCTAGAGTACTGGCCTGAAAATACATTTCAAGTATTCTCCTTCTCTACTGATATTGATGCCAAATTTTATACGTGCTTGTCACTTATTGCATTATTATGGAGTAAATCTCGCAGACTAGGTTGACAGTCCAAGTTACCCATCCACAACATCACTCGAATCATCTAATGCCTATAGAATTGTGTCAAATTCGATCAACAAATTGCTGAAGCAGAATCAGCTATCTTTTAAATCGTGTTGAATAGTGTTAAATGATTAAATCATGTGAAATCACTCCCTTTTGACTGTAGAAAGTCCAGCGTTTTGCCTCTAGCGCTCAGAAACAATCCCAATGCTTTTGACAGGCACAAGCATCAAAGCGCAGACTGTCATGAATCGAATGAATGAGTTGAAAACATGGTAACCGACCGGACGTCCGGACCGGGTTCCAGACAGTCCGGAACAACATGTCTGCGTCCGCTATCCGGTCCGTGATGTCTGGATGGAGGCCCCCCAGGTAAAAAAAAAAAGAAAAAAGGGCGGCCCAGGACGTTTTTCAGGGTCCTGTCTGCCCCTTGAAAAATATCGGGTTGATTTTTCAGGGTCCTCTCTCTCTCCCTCTCTCTCTCTCTCTCACACACACACACACACACACACACACACACACACACACACACACCTCTGTGCAAGAACGGATTATTCAGAGCCATCTATCACTTCTTGCAGCAAAGGATGTCATATAGAATTGCAAACATATCGCTGAGGTCTACCGATGCTTTGCTCACTGCATTGCATTAGTGCCTTCACACATCAGGAGCGACATATACATTTTATTTTTGGTGCTCACCACACTGATAACAGTTGTGTGCAGAAGTGGGCATGTGCCAAACATGCTCCATGCGTGAAAAATTGAAACGATGCTGTTGGTTTCCATACGAAACGACCAGAGAACAATTAGTTGTAAAGACTCGACATCAAACCAGGTATATCTCTGGATGAAGTCCTTTTGCTCTGACGTTCCGCAGTAAGCAAGGCATCAGTGTCGCAGGGATAAGAAGCCTCCACAGTTCCACAAGCAGATGAAATTCCACTTAAGCACAGGGTTTAAAGGGGCCAGCCCATCACGGCCACAGAGTAACTTGAGGGAACCGACCCCATCACAGTCACACAATGCCTTGAGCAAGCAACCTCATCAGCGACACAGTGCCTTTTGTGATCAACCCCATCCCTCGTGGCGCACTGATACCATCAAGTAGATAAACTACCAGCAGTAGCATAAAAGTCCAAGTCCATATTATATCCGTAATGCTTGGTCAAACTTGAGACTTTGACATTCATACCTTGCCGTCCGAATCTGGTCCGACCGAATCTGGAGCTTCCCATCCAGTGTACGTCATGTTGACATTGTTTTGTCACTACATGCAGTACCGAGTGTGCATCCAAAGCGAGACGTGGTGACATTGCGGTATCGGTTTTGCGATCGTAACTGGATGACGTTTGCCAGTTCACGTTCGGGAACTGTCACGATCCTGCAATCCGTATCTCATGCACCCTGGAGTCCTTCCTCAGCAGAAATTATCTGACAAATACCTTCTTCCCGAAATTTCCAACTTGCTGCTCATCACGCCATGTCAACGCCAATCGTAAGAAACCAAAGGGTGGCACCACCTCCACATGCTCTCGCTCGGTTCACGATTCTCACACCATCTGGCCAATGCAGTGATCATGGTGTCTCGACTTGTTCCCTGGCCGCCAACGGAACCGACAAACACTGCCACATCCGAAAGAGCACCTGTTGTACTACGTGTAGGACACATGCCACTTTCATATACCGTACCATCCCTCTTCAGCAATCCGGTAAAGCTATTGTGTCCATTTAACTCCATTCTACCAGCTCAGCGATCCACTCAAGCTATTGCATCGGTTTTTTGCCGAGCAGCTGTAGGTTGTGAAAAGATCGTACTAGATGAGCAAAGATAACCATTTGGCAATACTGAAATACAGCAAATACTACAGTCGGCAAGCACCTGGATCGGTTACTACAAAAGATGCAGTACCCATTTCCAAAAGCTATCCAACAAGTGTTTAGGAAAACACACTGCCCAGACCACTATCAGTTGCAAAGCAGCAACAAGAACAGTCACCTCATCATTCCTTACACCCACAGCAGAAATGCAAAACTGCAACACGTCGGTACAGAAAGGCAACACTGCAACACGTCGGTACAGAAAGGCAGCACTGCAACACGTCGGTACAGAAAGGCAACACTGCAACACGTACGTACATGGGATCTCCCCCACTCAGACAACGGCTTCAGAATTTTACACTGGCCGAAAGCATGCAGAAATCACAGGCAACCACACCAGTTCTCAGACTGAACTGTCTGAACACAACCGAAGGCATTCACAAACTGCAGACAAGCACACTGTCTGAAGACAAAGCAGTTCAACTGTCAATACACCACTTTGAATGTCGGCGCGATCTCACAGATGAGCACACCAATTCTCAGACTGAACTGTCTGAACATGACCGAAGGCATTCACAAATTGCAGACAAGCACACCAGTTCTCAGACTG